TGAAGGCTGTAATGGTCAAAGCCAACCTAAAGACTAGCAAGGAGATGTCTGCTTTTTGTAGCTGGTTTCATTCCTCTCCTACTCCAAGTGAGGATGCTGGGCAGTGCGGCTTTCCTGAATGAACACCGACGGGAGGACAGAGAAGCAACGCGAAGAGGAGTGCGGTCCGGTCCATCCCGAGGGAGTCAAAGGGTCAGCAAGTGCTTTTCATTTTTATTTTATTTTGCTTGTCTCCCCCACTCCCTGAGACAAGGTAGCCCGGGCTGGCCTGGAACTTAGGATCTGCCTGCTTCACCTCATGAATGCTGGGATTCCAGGTGTGGGCCACCACACTCAGCCTAAGATCTTTTTGTATGAACTAAATGGACACTGATCTGTTTCTTCTGAATTGCCTTGCACATCATGCAACGGCATGGAGAGGATCCACTGAATGGTGAACAGACCCTAGAGAAACCAGAGGTGCTCCTCACAAAGGAAGAGTGGGGTGTCACAGCCATCATGCTGGATTTGACCCCTGCTCCCCACTATCTCTCTCAGCCTCGGTTTCCTACCTGAACAATGTGATTCTCAAAATTCCCAGTTACTCCCAGACACCCTGGCAGAGGGACGCTGACAGACAAGAGCCGTGTCTCACTCACTTCTCACGGAGCTAGCACACAAGCATGATGACAACCGTAGCACTGCCAGCTTCGGTAGGGACAGTGCACAATTCTGGTGACTTGAAGAGACCAGTTATCAGTAGTAACACAGAAAATGTATTCTGTGTATATGTGCCCAATTGCCCCCTGTTTTGCCATATTTTGTTTTGAGACAGGGTTTCTCTATGTGGCCCAACCTACAACTTGTGATCTTGCCTTAGGCTCCCAAGTATTGGGATTATGGTTAGGAGCCACCACACAGTGCCCATTTCTTTCCTTAAAACAGTTTAATATGACATGTGGACCCTCAAAAGATGAGACAGAGAAACCTGGAAGGCCACACAGAAAAGTATTTTTTAAATTCATTTTTTTCCCTCTAAGTATATTCAAATGGCCATCAAGTGTTTTCAACCAACGCTCTAGGAAAAAAAGCTATGGAATTGGTTCCATTTGGCCCGGGATTGAAGGCGGCCATCATGATCCGGTTTCTCATGGTATAAGACTATAAAGCTTAAAGGTTCCTCATAGATTTAATTTTTAACCTCAAAATATTATTACCTAAAAAATTTCCCACATTACTGGGTGAAAACACTATGGTTTCATAGCAATAAAATATGATGATTGTCAAACGGGAACCAATCAGAGACGGCAAGGGATTAGTGCTCACCACAGTAACATAACCTGCAACACCCAGTCTAAGGATCCCCGTTGTAACGGCATCCACCAGGGTTACAACTTGCTGAAAGATTCATGGGTGCAGCACTTACACACAGTGTCAGCTTGGAATATATTTACTATATATTTCTAATAAGCTTTGCTGAGAACAGGGGAAGGTAAGGAGAGAACAGGAATGAGTGAATCCGGACTATCCCCAGTTCCGGATTGAGCGAGCAGCCTGATAGGAACCACTCCCCTTATGCTTGCTTTCTCCCTGCCTCTAACGGCCTTCCCAGCTACTGCTTCTCACCTGTGGCACCCTCTCATCTTGCTGCATGACGCACCAAGGCTGTCCCTCGTTAGAGCAGCCTGTCAACATGCCAGGAGAAGGTCCAGCAGTTTGGGCCTCCATCCAATTTCTTCCTTCCCCCATCTTCTAAGAAAGGAAGTCCTTAAAGTCCAGAGCTACTCAGCTTGAGGGATTTGGAAGTAGGGTTCAAGAAGACTGTTAATATTATTTAGTTATAACAGAGCTTCATTTGGAAAATGTATTTTGATTTCTAAATTTCACAGATAGTCGGGACATGTATACAGACACTAAAAAGACTCTTCAACCACAAAAAAAGATGAAGAACCAGAACATGTCAATAGCACAGATGAACCGCAAAGAGACCATGCTAAACTAAAGGGGTCAAGCACAGAAGGATTGCTAATTCCACTTGTATGAAACATCTAGAATAAAGTCAATTCAGAAACAAGACAGCAAAGAGTTCTTGGGTTTGGGAAGGAAGGAACGGAGTTACTGCAGCACGGAATTTCTACCTGGGTGACAATGTGTACAAGGGGCAGCAACCATGCAGCACTGTGAACACGTTAGATACTACGAAAATGCACACTTTCAAATGACTAATTTCAGATCATGTGCAATTTTTTTCAGTAAAAAAAATGAATATAGCCAGTATGTACAGGTATATAGGAAAAAGTAGACAAAGAGATATTTTCCAGTAAAAAAAAGATATGGTGGATGCTGAGTGTGATGGCATATGCCCATAACCCCAGCACTTGCAAGGCCGAGGCAGGCAGGAAGGTTATGAGTTCTAGGTTAGCGTGGACTATGTAGTAAGACTCCCATAGGACAAAAAAAAAAAAAAAAAAGACAGAGGGTGAAAAATGATGATAGGGAAAGAGATTGGAATCAAGAGCTAGAAAATCTAAAAATCCATGTTCAAGCTGTAACCCTGCCTTTACTAATAAGGCTATCTTATTTTATTTTATTTGATTTGATATTTTGTGTGTCTGTGTGCACACACACACATGTGCACACACACAGGCCTGCTGTGTCGAGCAACAGGACAGCTCTGTGCAGTCAGTTCTTCCCAGCTCTCCCTGGGTCCTGGGGAGCAGATGCGGGCTGTCAGGCTTGTTCAGCAAGCACCTTTACCCACTGAGCTACCTCGCTAGAGCCAAGGTCATCTCACATGCATCATTTCCCCCATGTGGGCCTGAGTTTCGACATGTGAAGAATAAGCCATACATATTTCTGAGGCTGAGATTGAGAAAGTACACCAGCATCTCTAACATAGCAGCAAAGAGGTACTGTTGAAACGAATGAAAGCTGGAATGTACTAGAACCCTGAGAGGAAAAAAGACAGTTTGCTGCTTTTGCTTTCTAGCATATGCTGTGTTTCATATACTAACTAGTTTTTATCTTAATACGTTCTTTGTGCTGGAGGAGGCTTATTACAGTCCAAGGTGATTTTTGGAGCTTATCAAGTTGGGTCAGTTTTCATTTGAGTCTACAGCAGAGACTTGGTATGATAAAATTCTGTCTTGTGAATAAGTGATATAATAATCCCCAAAGGAATTCTAGAATCAATCTGTAGTCTATAACCTTTGGCTAAAAGTAAAGAAGGCCATTTCCAAGTTCCTCTGGTGACATATAGGCTGGGAAGGAGAAGGTGAGTTTCTTTTGGTTACAACCTCAATAAACTAGTTCCATGTACAAAGGAGAGAAAACAGAACTTCCCACTTCCTTACTACTGGCGTGAGGCTCCTTGTATCGGCTCCATTTGGAACACACACTTTATCCAGTACGGTCAGCGAAGCATTCTCTGTCCACTTGTCAACACAACAGGAAGTCATCAGTCAACTTAAAATCATTCAAAATATTAGAGATGCTATATTATCATAGTTAGTTATATTTTATAGTAGCATAGCTAATATATTTAGAGTCCTTTAGAAACCAAAGAAAACTATAAATGTAAAACAATATATTGGGTTATAGATGTGTGCCTACTCTGCGCAACTGCACACAAAAAAGGCAAGACACACACGACACACACATGACTTGTTAGGGTACTGATAAACATGATCTGGCTCCTCTGGTGCAGTGAGAAGGACCATGACAGAACTCTGGTGGTCTGAATTTTGTTTATGGTTTGTGTTTGGTGATCTGCGTGACCCTGAGTACCTGCTACCTCTGTCCCCTCACCAGCATGAGAGGTGTCAGCAGTTACTTCTCCCAAAGGCTTTCTGTTTTAAATATTAAATAGAAGAACTTAATCTCAAGTCTTCTAAAAAGCCCGAGTTCACTCAAGAGAAGTGAGGAATCCTGAGGCCTCTACTGGCTTGGCAGGATCTAAGGAGCCTCAGGAGCAGCTTGGGAGTTCCACAGAATAGTATGAAGCTCACTGGATCAGAAGATGCCCAGGATCCCTATTTGACTAATTTCTGATGTCGTTAAAACATACTTTTTCAAATATCCCATATAAAAAAGCTTATTTCTGGAGAAGTTTTATTATTGAATATAGTGTAAGAAAGCAGGCAAGAAGGCACAGGAGAGCTTTCCAATGCTAAATCCCTGTTCTTTACAGCAATCGAAAAACTAAGCCAGCTAATTCGGAGAGATTTTTAACTCTCAGTTTTGGTAGGTTTTCATTACATAACTTACCTTTAGTTTGGTGTGAAGGGTTTGAACTTAATTCTCAATTGTTATCATTTTGGATGAGTAGCATTCTAAAGGAACACACGTGTGCACATTCACAGAGTTCCTTTCCAATAGCTTATTGTGCTCTTAGATCTATACAATCTCCACTGGCAATCGGCATTAAATGCCACTCCGCCCTCTGCTTAGGCGCTAACTTGCTGTGCTCACCCGTCTTTACAAACCTTGCCATAGACTTTAATCCTTTCAAATGCAGCTACGACATAAAGTATTACAGACTTTTAAAAACCTGGTCTCTTGAAAAAAAATTGTGGAGCATCAGTAACCAGATAGTATTCTCAAATTTCAGTGATCTAGTCCACGGAGCCATCCCCTGTGCACACCACTCTGCCTCACGCCGTACATGGCTTTAGCTGGCCAAATCTTTTTTTTTCCCCAATGAATCAGTAGAACAGTAAAGATCTACTTTTTTTTTTAAGCAGTGGCATATCAATGAGGCACAGATGTGTATTCCAACCCTGCATGGATGAGCACACTGTTCAATAGTGCTGGCTCACACGGTATCAGGGCGAGTTATCACTTCCCATGAAGGCACTCTTATCACCAGGGCCCAGAGAGGTGGCTGCAAATCGCAGCCTTTTTATTTTCAAGGCAGTTTTGCTGAACATTCAGGCTTCAAAGATTCACACTTCCAAAACTCTATAAGAGTTTGTGAACGCTCAATTTGCCAAAACTGTTTACAGTGTAATTGGGCACCGTACCTGTGTCCATGAGATAGCGGAGGCGCTTCTCCACCAGCGCGGCACGGGTGTCAATTTGCTTTTGCTCATTCTCTAGTGCTGCCAATTCTCCCACAACATACTGACTGGTGTCTTTGAACCCTTTCTGTTAACGAGAACAAACAGGAAGGGGGAAAAAAATCACTTGTAAGTTGCATTTTCCCTTTCTACAAACACTTAGTAAAGCACTTACCTAGAGAAGTGAACATACACTTAGAATCAACCTTAGTACCAAAACCCCACTCCTTGCCTGTGATTTAGGATCTTTCATATGCAGCAAGTCTAACAAACTGCTGCGGAGACTGAACACTGCAGCTGCTCAGTGTTACGTTTATAAATTTACACCCAGATTTTCCAGATACAAAAAGTTAACAGTGAGGGCGATGGCCGCTTCCTAGCACGAAGCCAGTGATTTAAGCACGGACAAGGCAGGGAATCTCCCCTGTAGTGACTGTTAGAGGGCATCTTTCATTCAAAAGCAAAGTATATGAAAGCAAGGCTTTACTATGAAGTTAATCCTTAAATTATCTAGATTTCTTCTGTAGAAACAAACAAAACAATTTAAAAGATACTTTTTTTGCCTGTGGTAATTATACCATTTAAAATATTTAAAAAATAAAAAGATGAGAAGAATGGTGGCGCATGCCTGTAATTCCAGCACCCAGGAGGAGGAAGGGCAGGTAAGGTGCTTATGTGTTCAAAGCCAGCCTGATCTACTAAGTTCCAGCCTCACCAGGGCTATACCGTGAGGCTGTCTCAGAATTTAGAAACCAAGGGAAACAAAGTTTGTAGTATTTCCCTATTTTCTTTCAGATAGATCCTGTACATCTCTGAGTTGAAATGCTACTAATTTGTAGGGCTATACATTGCTACTTAGAATCTGATTCAACTAGTTCACTGTTTAATTATCTCTTTAATCAAATTTGTATTTCTATTTGAAATTTTACTTTCATAGTCACCCACAATTTAAGAGTGATCGTATAAGTTTTATTTGGAACAGAAGTTCTATTACAGAATTCCAGTATAACTCTAAGGTTTGATTTTCATATACGTATGAATGGTACTGTCACAGTAAATAAATAACAAGCTCTCCTTGCAACTCTTCTACCCTTTGACATTTCTAGGTAGTAAGCGATGGCTTGGTGGTTACTCATCACCACCAGCATCAATATGCAAAGCATTATTCATTCAGAGACAGAAGCGGCAGTCTCCTATCAAATGCTTTCCCAGTCCAAAAAGTACACTGACCACTAAGAAAGCTGTGAGAGACTGTATTTAAGGCCCTCCTTAAACAATAAGACTCATAGTTATTATACATCATCCTCATGGTCAATAAATACGTTCAGTTCTACTTCTAATGTTCACACTTTCTGAACTACTTAAAAACTGCATTCAACTTATGACTGACTTTCAATTGTTAAATTGATTATGAGAGCCGATAAATTTAAAGTTAAAATGTTTCATAAAATCATAAATCTGATAATCTTGTAGTCACTGAATACAATGTCACTATATTGTTTAAAGATTTATACAAAATGGATAGTCTTCTATTTCAATGTGTGCTTCTGGTAAGTATAAAACTAGGAATAACCCGGTGAATGCTTCTCACCTACTAGACAGCACAGCATTTTCTAAAAATACTTTTTCTGTCTCCAGTTCCATCCAAAGGGATATAAACATCATAGTTTACAGATAATACAAACATAAAAGCAGAAATTTTAGCAAACACTAAACTTCACTGCACAGTACAAATTTCATAATCAGATCTGTTAGTCCTGCAGTGCTGTAGGCCAATCATCGGACTTCTTCAGTCCAAGCACACACCGCACAGGCAAAGAGTCTACATCTCACTAAGCTATGCCAAATGCTTTATCAAGATTCTCCAGTGTCTTTTTTTGTACTTAAGACTTTTCTGGGTCTCCTAAATGTGAAAAACATAAAATGGAGCACCTTTAGAGTCCCAAATTGCACTTAAATGATTTTAAAATCTCCCAAAACATGATTTTTAACAAGAAAATATTCAAACTGTAGATAATACAAAAGTAACACCACTAAAGAGAGCTGTGCTTCTTTCTAGACAAAAATTCAAGTTAAAACTTGTTCTCCTTGCTTCTGTCCCGCAGCTGTCCATCAAAAGCAGCTTTCTCCCTGCGGTCTATCAAATATTTCCCTCACAAATCAATTTTACACATGATCAGCCCATACCCCTACTGAGCTGAACCTCCCCGTTAATTAAGTGAAGAAATTACCATATATATTATATTAATGCAAACATCATTCAGCTAGTAATTCACGGCTGATCTGGATAATGGAAAGGTTGAACACCCATTAACCCAAGCCAACAAAATGGGTTGGCTGAGAAATTCTAGCGGGTCTCATGTGACTTCTCCCTCTGACTGCAGCCCTGCGGTATCTGCTATTGTAATAATTAAAATCCTCCCGGTAGATCAATACTGGAATCTCTTTATGGGAAGTGCCCTGATGGAAATGTCTCAAGGAAGCTGGGGCTGTGGAACTCAGAAAAATTCATTTTTTTTTTATCTGACAATTATCACCACACTGCAGACTAATTCAGCAGCGTACCCCTCTCACACTGCTTTGAATGCACTGGAGATTGACATCTTAAAAAACCTAACATCTCATTTTAACAAATAAAGGCACTATTTCCATACACAGTTTGGAATTATCAGCAATCATGAAACCACACAAAAAATTAATATACATTAAGTACTTCATCTTCTGATGGCTTCCTCTGAGTTTCAGTTATCGCTGCCTTCTCCTCATTTCCTCTCTTTGTATCTTCCTGTATTGATCTCTGTCTTTTCATCTCTTAAAAAAAGGGGAGAGGCATGTAAAATTATTATAAAGCTTGATATTTATATATTGAAATGTGGCTTTACATTATCAGCATTTCTGTATTTCATACATATACACCTACAGTTAAGCACTGCTACATCATGAGACAGTTCTAAAAGCGTTCCTACCTGGTCTATTCTCAACATACTGACTGAAAGACTGGAGTTGAGTTTTTCTGACTGTAGAATCCTTGCTGAACACAACAGGATTTCTGAAACGTTCTGTTGCTTTTTGTAATCGCTCAGTCCGAAGATCTTCCACGCCATTCTAAAAGCAAAAGGATAAACAGCACGGTAGTTCAGAATAAGGAAGGAATTACAAGCCAGGGAGGTAATTTTTACCAGTTTAAGGTGACGCTGACGTTTCTAAGCTATCTGGCAGCATTTTAAAACACTATAAACAGCTCAACAGCAGGCTCTATGGCCAGTCAGCAAAAACTCTGGGACACATGGTTTAAACCCTTGATGACTTTGATGTGTCAGACACCACAAGCCCTTGTGTCTTCCACTGGTGATAAGCATCGCTAGAAGCCATGCTGCCTCCTCTGCCCCACGACTCTGCCCCGTCTGTCTGTAGTCCTAGGACTTGTATGACAAGAAGAAATAGTTTCCAATTTTATGCCCATTCAGATGAACCATTAATGCTGGGCGAAGGCTAAAAGGTAGGATTATGACACTACCCCACTGAACGGAATTTCATCAGCTCTACCTTTTCAAAGCCTGATTTGTAAGTAAGCCCTTTACAGCCAAGGAAACTACAATTATCTTTTCTGGAGCTTCCTATGTTAATACTGGTAACAAATTCAAATGGTTCTATCAACAAGAAATATCCCAAAAGACTGAACCACTGCAATGTGTGGAAGCTGCAGATACCGAGGTGCTGTGTACCAAACAAATATTTCATTTTAAACCTAATCTTTTATTATTTTTATAAAGTGTTTTGAAAGTAAATAGGGAAAGGCTAAGATGCATGACTAATAGCTGAGCCTGCTGAATGCTGAAACTGGTTATCAAAAGCTACCAAGACTTTGCCCTTCCTCTGCATTGAGACAATCAGTAATGAGGGAGCCCTCCAATGGCCTATTCTCTAGCCTCAAGGAGGCCTGGGACACAGAAGCCTCGAGGGAAGGTAACAGTTTATCCTTTTCCACAAACACAGAATGCCTCATTTATAAATGTGTAAACTGCATTTTATTAAAAAAAAATAAAAACCCAAATCAATGCTGAAAGCTGCAAGGAAGCAGATGGACGCTGTATGTTCTTTCTAAACACCATTTTCAAATCCCCAACTAAAAAGAGTCACACAAACGCAATCTGTTTAAAGTCTATGTTTTGTTGGAATAACTTTAGAAATTACTACAAAAGAGCTTTTTGGAAAACAAAATCAGTTTCATACATGTAGATGACTAACTTATGAAAATGAAACAACTGTCTGATGAATTTATCATTATGATCAATCTTATAATATCTTAACTAGATAATTAGGATACAAATATTTTTGGCTTTAATTTCTTAAAGTATGATTTTTTAACTGTTAGTCTAATGATTATCCAATAGTCTAAAACTCAAGTCTTTACTAAGATAAACAAACATGGTTAATATTTTTAGGGCTGGCAACATGCTAAAATATCAGTATGATTAGCCAGCAAATCCCATCTTAAGAAACCTTTTTAAGACTAGGAACTTCTGCCACTTTACAAATGTATTCCTCTAAACCCACTAATTCAGTTAGCCTTTTCAATCCATTGTATTATTCTTAGGCAAGCTTCATTCTGCATTAAATCCAGAGCAGAAAGCTAAATTGAACGCAAAAAAAAAAAAAAAAGAGAAAGAAAAAGAAGAAAAAAAAAAAGACACCAGACCCAATCCAGGCTTCCTTTTATTCAGAGATAGAGACGAAAAGTCTTCTGCCTCCTCCACCACACACTTTCATCACCAATTACAGACACGACATTACAGAGAGCAATGAGAGCCATTGTTTTGGGGCTTCAAAGCGGCTCTGTCAGGGGGAGGAAATCCTCTCAGTCAGCAGGGCAATCCCCACAGTCCGCAGGTGGGTGAAAAGTTACACAGGACTGCTGTCCCCAAAGCTGGCGAAATGCTAATGACAGAATGTGGGGAGAGGAGGTGGGGTGCTTGGGTGGCGACAATAGAGAGAGCCTGTAATAACAGTAATGACATGCACACAAGGCCACTTTGTCTAAAATGCTACAGCAGATAAGAGTCACAATGGCACAAATTTCATACACACTGCTTTAAAGGCTATATTCAATCACATTACTATGTTCAGGTATGACAGAGTCTTAGAAATAGCACCAACTGCTCATTTGCATGGGTAAAAGATTTAGACAGAAAACCATTCTAGAATTCTCTTGGCAATATTCCTCTTAGCAAAATCAGAGTTCAAGAACAGTTTCATATGCCCTCGAATTGCATGAGGCGCATGAAACAGCAGTTCTCTAGGCTGAAGCAGCTAGGGCGGCTGCCGAGAGCGAGACTTACCTTTTGCTCTGAGATATCAGTCGCAGCTTTCTGGGAAGCACTGGAGAGCGAGTTTGCCACCTGTGGCTGGGCTTCTAAGAGCTTCTTCAGCTTCAAGTCCACCAATTTACTATTTTGTTCTGTTAAACATGCAAATACCATGAATGACAGATAAGAGGACTGGGATGCACAGGCCATTAATTTTAAGTGACATCACAAGAGTAATATTAAATTTCAAAAGACATTGGGGGTAAGACAACACATCAAACTAGACACACAGGGAGTTCTTTTGTTATATATATTTCACCTTCAGGTTAATCCCTTAAAATATGTCAACATGCTTAAAGATAATGAAGTTATGCCATAGGTATTATTTATTACGATTACCTGAAAAACAGAAATACATCATACACATGCATATAACTATATACATAGTACACAGTAAAACAAAAAACTAGATATTAAAGAGATGTTTTCTTTGTTTACTTTTTTTGAGATTGGAATTTCTCTGTATTCCTGGCTGTTTTGGAACTCACTATGTAGAAAAGGCTGGGTCTGAACTTGGAGTGATCCTCCTGCCTCTGCCTCCCAAGTGCTGGGATTATAGGTGCCCGCCACTAACAAACTCTGAAACTTTTATTTAAATTGTTACTCTACCATTTTAATTATTTTAGTATGTTAAATTTACACATGCAATAGCATTTTGAAACATGGTATTAATATGATCTTGGTAACATACACACTATCAGAATCTATGTGTACATATATACCCAGCATCAACATAGTATATGTTTGCAAATACTTCCTACTTAAATAGCAGAAATATAATAAAGATTATCATGATTTTAGAGTGTGTTAAAAATAGATAGAAATGAAAGGCAACCAAACTATGGCTATAAATTTTCAAAGAAACAGTTTCAAATTATTTTACCAAGTACATTAACCTCTAATAATAAAGTGGTTCAGAAATGAGTTGAAATAAATATTTCTACTTAAAAATCACACACAAAGTGATCTTTTAAAAATAAAATGGTTGTAAAAGGCATGCCAACTTTTGAAGAATGGTATTTTTTATAAAGATTAATAACTTTTCTAATTATAATATTCTTATTAAATGTCATTATCATTGCTTTCATGCAAATTTTTCAGTTTATACTGCCAGGCTTCTTTTTTAAACAATATCTGATGAACTATGGTCAAACCAAGATAAAGATTGAACAATTTATTATTAAAACATTATGACTTTTATACACATATTAAAAAAGAAATTTTGGAGAAAATAAAGCAGGACAAAAATTATATTATTTTCTGTGTGCTTCCAGATTCCAGCTTGTATTCCTATTTTTTATTATCATAACAACAGCTATGGACGGCAAAGCCTCCACTTATAGCACGCTCAAGAGCCATATCAGCTGTGGGAAAAGCTGGGTTATGCTATAATCCTTGCAGTTGGAAGGCTGAAACAGGCAGATTACCAGTGCCACCAGGTAGACTAGGCTAACCCTGGGAGTTCCCGGCCAGCCTGAGCTACAGTGAGAATCTGGCTCAAATAGAACAAAACAAAGAACCCTAGTAACCCTAAACAGGAGATGGAGGCATGCTTTTCTTTAGGTGAATTTTCTTAGTTTTACTTTTTATCAGTTACTTCTTTGTGTGCGTTGTATATGTGTGCACAGGTGTGGACTTGCTTGTGTGCTAGACACCAACACTGGGTCTCACTCCATGAACCCAGCACTCAAGCTCCGGGCTAGCCTGGCTGGCCAGCAAGCTCCAGGGACCTGCCTGCTGCTCCGTCTGTGCTGGGCTTCCGAGAACGGGGCTTCCACACCTGGCTTTTGGAGATCAGAACTTAAGAGGCTCAGGATTGGGTCACAAGCACTTTCTTGAATAAACTATCTCCCCATCTAAGAGAGAGATTTTTTCCCAAGTGTCAGAGTCAAGCTTGCCATGATTAAAATTAGCCAGATTTTAAAAATATCCCACAAAAGTTATGGTAGCTAATTTCTCCACATTACCTAAGAAATGGTTACTTTCCCCAAACTTTCCAATTTACTTTAAAAGGAGATAAACATTGCTGATTTTACCAATTTGATAATTACATAATTAGAAATCAATCTTCAAGTCCTCAAGAGTAAAAGGTTATTGAGAATTCTCTTCCTTCCCTCCTCTGTCTCTCCTCCCCTGCTCAGTTTCTAAGAAAGAATTCTGTAATTGTAAAGGGACGACAGGTAGACAGCAATAAGAATATTTCTTAGGGGAAAACTAAAGATAAAGTCTACATTTTTAAGAAAGAAGCTGGAGAGATGGCTTAGTGGTTAAAAGCACTGGCTGCTCTTATAGAAAACTCAGGTTCGATTCCAAGCACCCACACGGAGGCACAAAATTGGATGTAATCTCAGTTCAGGATCTGATACCTCCTTTGGGCTTCCAAAGCACTAACCACAGAACATGGCACACAGACAAACCTGTAAGAAAAGTACCCATACACATAAAAAATAAAAATAAAAAGATTTATTAAAAAAGAACTAAAAGGTAGTTTAATATTGAGCTAAACATTAAAAATGGTTTCCTTAAATATCAGAATTTTCTTGAACTATATTGTACTCTGGCTGCTATACAGTAAGAGTGTATCTTAATACTGAGACACAAGGGAGGTACTGACAAAAGGCCCTGAGTTTTCTCAGAAGAGCGGTCAGCCTGCAAGGAGACGCCAAAGGTGCCGAAGAGCGCTGCTGTCATCCCATTGACCCATGCAGGACAGGACACTTGTTAGAGACCAACTCCTTATCTTCATGTTTAAAGAGAATGCCACAGTCTTTACTGCTGCAACTTGAGAAACATGGCTGGAGCCACTTGGGTACATACAACTCTGGACTGCTAGCTGCTGTTACCTCTGAAGGCAAGGCCTACAGAACACACACCACAGGAAGCCCTTTTACAGTTCCCAGGAGAGTAAAGCCATACTGCAGTGATTCACAGAAGACGTGACATTAACCCAATTGTAGTCTATACAAGGAGTTTTCAAAGTGTCCTACTGTAATCAACTGTTCAGCCAATGTAAAACAGTGATAATATTTAAAGTAAGAAAGAAATTTGCAAAATAATACAATTAAGACTATCTATTTTGAGAGAAAAATCTCCCATTAAAGCCCAGGTTGGCCTCAAACTTGCTCTGTAGTCCAGGCTGGCCTGGAAGGCACTCACTATCCTCCTACTTTAGCCTTCTGTACCAACATACCCCGTACTGCCGGTACTAATTCTGATGAGTCTTTAGAGCTGAACTAGTCCATAGCTATTCCACATGTGGTACACGACAGCTATCACAATCCTGAAGCAGTGAGGGAGCCACTTACTGAGCCTATCAATTGAAACTTAGAGTGATTATCAGTAATAAAAGAACCTATGTCATAATTTACTATACCAATGTTAAGCTATTTGAACATTCAACTAAATTCAACCAAAAACAAAATAACATAAAAATTAATGGAAGGTGGATTTGACTAAATGATTAGTGAGAGCATACGATGTAAAGAGACTACAAAATAAATTATTATTGATGAGATATAATAATATAATCATAAATTCTGCCATGCAATAGGACACAAAACATTTATAATTTGAAATTACCGGGAGTATCAAGGTCATTTTCTATATTAGTAAGTTCATCTCCACCTCCTACCACAAAGCCTTCAGGAGTGTCCTCGTTAGTATCTATCTCAATATTATCATTTTCATCTGTAAGAACATGTAGCAATAATGTTAGTATATCATTTATATCTTATATCCTTTGTCCTCAACTCTAAAGGAGAAAAACTAATATTTCAATGACAGCTTCTCAAACTGAAGTATGACAAAGATAAGCAAATTAAGAACTCAGTTCAAGTCACTTTTCCACTGTTGGTTTAACAGTTATATTTTACATTCTTATGTCAAAGCTGAATTATCACATTAAAGCGAATGTAGAAGTTTTGACAATTTGCCACCCACTGTCTCTGGATCACTGAACTCATTAAGTCCTTGTGTTTTACTCTATAATCTATTTAATAATCTCTAATACAATAACATATGAAAATAAAATTGACTTAGTGAAAAAACATCCAAAACTATGAGTTTCGTTTTTATCATTTATTACATATACATATATGCATATATGTAATACATATAATACACAAACACATCCTTGTTTGATTTTTGGCTTTCTAAGTGGCCACCAAGAGTTCTAATAACAGTTAACATTTAACAGACTTCCCATACACTTGTGTAAGCCAGTTATAAGAAGAAAACAACAAAGAAAAAAGATGGGGAAGAGCCTCCTCCTGGAAGGTGGAGAACGGTGGATACAGAGATTGCTGCTGGGAGCAGAAGCTAAAGCATTACGTGTGTGACTATATTCCCTAGGCACGGTCAGCTGAGAGCTCTTTTCTGATCAACTACCCCAGCACAGCTATTCCGCTCGTTTCCTAAAGGTGAACACCTTCACTTCACGGTCCTTAAAACGTCTCCAAATAATTCTGTAGCTTAGCAAATGAATTAGCAAATACTTCCAAGTGCTAAAAAGGTAGTCAAACACTTTTCTGCAGTAATCTGTGCCAGAGACATTAACTATTAATGATTTCAGGAGAGCTAGTTACACTTGGCTGCTGTCAATCGGCCACCATTGATTACTAACCGCAATTAATCTAGAGTCAAAGTACAAAATTCAGTATTCATTCTTTTACTCCAAAAACCAAAACAAACCAAAAACAAACAAACAAACAAACCCCACTATATTGGTGGTTCTTATCTGGGGGGGGCGGTGTCACATATCAGATATTTACATAATGATTCATAATAGTAGCAAAATTACAGTTATGAAGTAGCAATGAAAACAATTTAATGGTTGAGGTCACCACAACATGAGGAACTGTATTAAAGGGTCGCAGCATTAGGAAGGTTGAGAACCACTGGTCTACAGTATTCTTTAGGTAACTTGCAAAATACTGTGCTAGATGCTGAGGAGATAAGTTTTTAAAGACATCTATTGGACTCAAACACATTAAGGTGATTATAATACCATGTAGGACCAGAGTTACGGGGTAAAAAAGAAGGCACAGAGCAATTCTAAAGACACAAAGATTACTCTTTGCCAGTGGCACCAGGATTTCTTTCTTGGAAGTAGGAACATGTAAGTTAGGCCAACTGAGGAGAAGGCATTTACAGACATGAAGGAAGAAAGCTAGGGTCTCTCTGTCCAGAGAACGCAGCCAAGTCCAGTTTGCTGAGGCACACTTAAAGGGAAATAACAGAAGGTAAGGCTTGAAGGGCAGGACTGGAGTGAACCCAGAGCCCAGAGGGGCGGAATGGGCGTCTAAATGTGGGTGGAGGTGAAGAGATGGTGGTGTTTCACAAGATTACGTAGTTTTCAGTCGAAATATCTGATTGTAACTGTGAGCTGTGTGCAGTGCACAGGCAGCGGTAGCAGCACTTCAGGCTTCAATATGACTCCTCCAATGCTGTTATTGGTTACACTTTCACATCTTTACGTGAAAAAAATGTAAGCATTGAAGGGACTGTGGGTCGGAGGACGCTAGGCAGGCAACAGCATCATCTGCGCCAAACTGCTGACCTAGCTGTCGTACTAGAGAACAGAAAAGCTGGAGGTGAGAAAGCTAGGTTGGAAACTGTTATGACCTGAAGATGGAAGGCCTATCTTAAAAGAACTGTAACAAGATTTGAAACTGATTGGAATCTGAGCTATGGGGAAGGAGTAAGAGGCGAGGCAAGCACTTCAATCAATCTTAAACAAAGGTTTTGCTTTGGAAAGTAGTGAAGAGCAGAAAGTCCTGTGTCATGTTAAACGGGTGCCATTTGTATTCTTTCCAGAAAAAATGAATCCTCCACTTACATTACCACTCATCAATAACATTAAGATGGATTAACTCAGTATTGCTAGACTTCATAAAATGATTACTGTTTTGAAAGACTAAACTAAAAACCAATTTTCTATCAGCTCACCCTATGAATGAGGTTTTACTTGCTAGTCACTAACCAGTTTTGAAATGCACGTTAAATTCTTTTCAGCACATCTCAGCAACCTGTGAGAATATTTTAAATGCATTGTAGCAGAACTCAAGTACATGTTTATGTGTGTGTGCACATGCATATGTGTACTGAAAGATACTACATCTATATCTATGCATTGGCACACATCAATCACTACAGTCTTCATGGCTAACCATGGAAAAGTTAGTAAGTGAGTAAAACCAAAAGTAGAGATAGATCCAGTACATAACTATGAAAGAGAGACAAGTGTGGTCTGTGTTCCGTTACAGGCGCAGGACATGAGATATCAGCTATGCAATAGGATGTGACAATGGGTACCGGCTGAACTGCATAAGCTGGCAGTGCGCACCACTGTACCACAGCAATTGAGCCAATCCTACACATTCTTCTTTTATAGGTGAATGGAAACCAGGATATCCGATAATAAAAGGATGATTTACAATGCCAAGAAAAGAATCCAAGGTTGTCATTAAAAATACATTCAGAAAAATAGAAGATTCAGAAAGAAGTTTCTCACCTTTTTAAAAAATATTCTCAACCAAGGTCTCCATAAAATTCAGAACTTTCTATCAGAAATGCCCTGGACATGGTGGCACACACCTTTAATCCCAGCACTTGGGAAGCAGAGGCAGGGATCTCTGTGAGTTCAGGTCAGCCTACAGAGTGAGTTCTAGCATAGTCAAAGATGCACAGAGAAACACTGTCTCAGAAAAACAAAAAAGATAGGAAATGCAATATAAATATTATAGATAGTCCTAATAGAAGACGAAAATAACAATCACTTAAGTCTTTAGGATTTTATTTTGGCTCATTGCACTTAGTGATTCACACTATCCCAAGTTATAACCGGAACTGGATTCCTGTGAATCCATGTGAATTTTGGATGTGCTATATGAGGGTCAGTAAACTACCAGACAGGGGCAGAATTCATCCCACTGCTTTTGAGGGGCAATGCCCATTCATTCAAATATAATTCAAGGCTGCTTTCAGACTACACAGGCCGAGTCGAGCAGGCAGAGATCTGGTGGTCTGCAAGTGTAAGTGATTTACTCTGGCCCACATTAAGATGCTTGCTGAATTCTGGCTTAGACAAGTGGCTACAGTTGCTGGAAAGGCAGTTGTATGTGTGTGTGTATGTGTGTGTATATGTGTGTATGTGTGTGTATATGTGTGT